GTACCCCGAACCCGAGTTACCCCTGATAACTCGGGTGCCCAACTTCTGGGCATCTCTGCCGCAGTTCGGTATCGATCCACCGGTCCCATCCATTTCGGGCCGTGGTATCTGTCGGTAGCAAAACACGGGAGCCTCCGTGGGGTGCAGTAGCGCCGACTAGCGTTTGGTAGTCGATGAGACAGCGTCGATTCAGTGTCGATCTACGTCGATCAGAGACGGCTAGCGCCGATTTAGCATCGATTAGCGTCGAGCAGCGTCGACTCGCAAGAGCCAACAAGATGGTATCGGCCGCACAAGAATCTCAACCCCACCCTCGTATCACCCCAGTTGGGAATAGGTCCCTCGAAGCCCGAAGGGAACAGGCGATGACCCCATCTAAGGGGGTAATGGACGAAACAGCTGCACAGACATGTTTCTCTCAAGGGTCGCGCGTAAAGGCGGCGCAAGAGGCGCCGCAAGGGGGGACTGGGCGCGTCGTCCTCGTCCTCGTCGTCGTCGTCGTTGTCGTCGTCGTCGCCAGTGGGGACAGGAATCGGCGAAACGGTGCTGACTGCTCTGTCTCGGCGCGCTCCGCCGGGGGATCGGCGAGCAGCAAAGCAGAAGGGCGCCCTCGAGGCCGCGAAGTCACTCGCGCTCCAGGCTTCGGCCTCGATTCCTCGTCCTCCTCGGCTCTCCCTCTCCCTCTCCTTCTCCCTCTTCTCCTCCTCCCTCGCCCTCCTCCTCGTCCTCCTCCTCCCTCTCCTCCCTCTCCTCCTCCTCTCCTCTGCTCCTGCTCCTCCTCCTCCTCCTGCTCCTCCTCCTCCTCCTCCTCCTCCTGAAGGAGCATGTTTTTCTTTAGATCCAGGCGAGTTTTCTTGCATGGCGTTCGACCCCCACCCCCTCCTCCCCGCCCCTCTTCTATCGAACACGAGCGTGCAAGTGCCTTTCGGCTTGCGCGGTTTCCGCACGTCAAACTGTTCTCGGCTTGCTTCAAGCTCAGCCCCCCGCCCGTCCATGCAAGTAAACTTGCCCGAGTCTACCAAGAAACAGGCTCCAGGGGGACGGCGCGAGAGCGCGGAGGTGTTCGCGCTCTCGCGCAGCGTGAGAGCGCGAAGTCAGGCGCCCTTGGCATCCGCAGGGGGGGGGGCCTTGGCATCGCTCGGACGTGTGTACTCTTGCTTCGCGATAGCCATCGAAGAGCATGATGGGGGTCATCCTGCGAAGCGAAAGCACGGAGGAAGGAACAGCCGCATCCGCACGAACTGCTGGAACTCCCCGCGGACGTCTTGGATCTTCGCGGCCCCCCCCCCCACGCCTCCCCCAGCGCGCGAAGTCCGCCGGAGGCGGCGCGGGAGGGGCCGCCAGGGGGCCCCGGCGCAGATCCCAGAAGTCCGCGCGGAGCTCAAAAAGGCTATGATTACAGTCGGGGCCCTGAAGAAGGAACCCTTTTCGTTGGGGAGGGGCTCCGCGTTCCTGAATTGTTTCACAGCTTGCCTCAGGTTTTCCTTATGTTTTCGATGGGAAATCGAAGTTCAATTTATGGTAAAAAGGGGCCTCGTTCCTTATCTAGGGTTCCTTAGGTCAACGCCCCGACTGTATGCAGTTTTCGTTCTTCCTCTAAACATGCACGCGCAAAACCGATCAATGCACGAGGAAGGGACGCCTGAGCGATGGCGAGGGGCGTTTTTCGTTCGAGGGGGGGCGGGGTGCCCCGGCGGTCTTTGCCCTCTCCCTTGCACCCGTGCGGAAGGTAAAGCAGGGGCGGTCGGCGAGAGAGGAAGAAGGTCCAGGGAAGAGGGAGGCGAGGGGTGCAGGGAGAGAGAGAGAGAGAGAGAGTCAGAGGAGGACAAGGTACCCATATTGCTGCGCTTCCCTCGTTTTCCCTTTTTGGGCCTCCTGGGAGGCCCTCGTCGCCACCGCCGGATTCGCTTCGAAATTCTGGTCAGAACGCACTCCGGGAGGGGCCCGGGGAGCAGCGAGATCAGTACCTCTTGGTTTTCCCACAGAGAGAGAGGGGGGGGGGAGAAGAAGAGAAGAGAGGGGGAGCGAGAGCGAGAGGGAGAGAATGGAAGGGATCGGCGGCGAGCCCAGTCGAGGACCATCCTGGACCATCGAGCAGAACAAAACACGCACGAAACCGACAAATGCACGGGAAATGAACGTCCGAGCGACGGTGAGGAGGGTGTCTGAGAAGTCCCGCCGCCTTCTGAGAAGGCCTTCTCCTTCTCACTTCACGCCCTCGCTCGCCGCCGATGAGAGCAAGAGGGAGAGGGAGAGAGAAAGAGAGGGAGAGAGAGAGAGAGAGACAGAGATTGACAGAGCGAGGGCGACGGCGACCATGCTGGGATGAGATGGGGGACGGGAAGGTTCGCAGTACGTACCGGCATGGGAAGAGATGTCACGCAATGTCACGGGGTCACAGAGTGACGACAACCTCGGCGACTAAGGCACCATGCACCGAAGCCAGGTCACATGCCGTGCCACTCTGTGGCGTTCGCTCCCACTCCTCCCCTCCAAACAAAAAAAAGATGTCACGGGGTCTGTCACTCAGGAGCGAAAGAAGGACGTACATGTACATGAATCCACGCTGGTTTTGAGAGTTCGCATTGCGCGAATGTTCGTATCGCGCGGCAGGTCTCGCGGGTCAAGGGGCCGTGTTCATGTATATAGCTGGGCGCGTACGTCCTTTGTGGGCTCCCTAGTCACGTGAGACATTGCGATTGGTGCATTGCTTTGGCCAGGCATCTCGCTCGGAGCGCGAGGAACCGCTCTGCAGAAGCCGGGGGCAGAGCTCGGAGGCCGTGTGAGAGAAGGCATCCGCAGTCCGTCCGCAATGCAGCGCGATGCTCGAGTCGAACACACTCCGAATGATGTTTCCACGCGCTGCGTTGGGGAATTGCATGCCTTCGCACAGCTCTCGAGCAGATGATTGACTGCAATGCTGGCACGACTGCTTCCCTGCAAAGTGTTTACTGTGGCCGTCGTCCATGTTGATGCCTTCGGGAACTCGGTAAGCTGAAGTGGATCGTTGCCCTGAAGAGGATGGGTACGGGAGGAGTTGGAGCGCTTGCAGTCTGACCTAAGGAGCCGCTTGCATCGTCCCGGTTCCAGTGAGCGCGCATGTGCAGCTTCTCTCACGTATTTGCCCGCTTGTTCACACACACGCACACTCTTTTTTCCCTCGGCGGCGAGGCAGAGGCAGTCTGCACCAGCGTGTGACTATTCGGGGCCACCGAATGGCTAATTAATTGGCCGGCATGCAAGAGAAGGAAAAGGACGAGGGCGGCCGCGTAGAGGGAGGGGGAGGGGTGGAGGGAAGATCACTCAGACGTGGAAGACTTCTGCGTCCGTTTGCACACACACACACACGTGTTACATCTTGAGTGGTGATGTCACGAAGTGAGGGCGCTTGCGTGTAATCAGAAAGACGTGGCCAGGTTTGCCCACGAGGAAGTGGTGGTCCACTGTCGCTGCCAAGCGATTCTGCCACCTCGCTCGGGCGGGTCCCTATCTCGTTGGGACCTCTTGGGTGCCTTCTGGGGGCATCGTGGTGGCCTCTTGCGGTCTCGGGGAGCATCTTGGGAGACACGGCACCAGATGTCAGCTCGAGCTGCTCCTCTTGGGCTCCCCTTGAGATCGCTTCGCGGGCCTCGGGACAACATGGGCAAACTTGCACACCGTTTGTGATGTCATTGTGTCCCCTTCAGAGCGCTGGGAGGAGCACTTAGCATCGCTCGGGCGTGTGCGTTTTTTTCTTGGCGAGGACCATCGAGGAGCATCCTTGATCGCTTGGCGAAAACACCACGCACGAAACCGAACAAAGAACACAGGGAATGGACGTCCGAGCCATGGCCAGAGCGGGCAGGAGTACCTCTGGGGGGTGACCGTAGGCGCCTCTCGGGTGGTCTCGGGCGCTCGGCGTCTCGGTCTCGGTCCCGTGCCCCCGTTCCACTGGTGCCTGCGCCTCGTGGCCGCGGCCCGCGGGGCCTCCGGCGAGGGCCAAGGGGGCCCCAGAGGGCTCGCCAAGCTGCACGCACGGGGCGCCTGGAGAGGTCACGCGGCGATGCCCGATGGCGCGCCAGAGGTCCCTGAGCTCCTGCCTTGGGCCCCCGAGGGAGCAGTTGCAGGGATGCAGGGATCCGGGAGGGACCGGGGGACACACCGCGCTCAGTGCTTACGGCACCATGGCGGGTAGTGGGGGGGAGGGGCCTGGCATGCGTTGGATCCCAGTGTTTCATGTGTCCACGTGACGGTTGGGAGTGGGCACTTCCCCGGTGCGTCCTCATTATTTGGCCCCCTCTTGTCGCGTGAGCCGCTCGCTGTCTTTTGATCAAATGGGGATGTGGATATTGGATCCCAGTGTTTCATGCGTCCACGTGACGATTGGGAGTGGGCACCTCCCCAGTGCATCCTCATTATCTGGCACCCTCTTGCCGTGTGAGCCCTTGTTTTTTGATACTCTGGGGATGCGTCTTGGAGTGGTTGCTTCCAGATGTTGGACCAACATGTTTTCATGCACGACATGTGCTCTTCTAAATTGTCATGCTTGTCCAGACACTTGAACGTCCCCCGACCTTGTCTCCGAGACATATCTTTATACCATGCATCAGCATGCCACGTCAAATCGTCCTGTTTGCTCGAATCGTGGACTATGTACCTGCGTTGAGTAGTGGCTGTTGCCAACATTGAGTACCGCGCGGGCGTGTGTGCCAACGATCATGACAGGTGTCAGCAACAGGGGATATATGGATGCGCATCAGTTTGCGTGCAGCACCGCGAGTGCCCGTGGCCGTTTCGCTTCGAGGCAAGCGACGCATGTCTAACGCCATGGCGTTGTGGCGCAGACACCCCCAGACTCCTCGAGGCCCCAGGTTGTTTGGAGAGCCGCGCGGACTAAGTGGCCCGCTACCTTGAGGCGGACCCGAACGTGCGCGACACACAGCCGTCTTCAAGCACAACGGAGCTGGACGGGGGCACCGCGAACGATAGGCCGACTCGGTCAGCATCGACGGCTTCCCCAGATGCTGTCCCGGGGGTATCGCGGCGTGCGCGTCGAGCTCCTCGAGGCGGGGCCGCCCGGAGCTGACGACGGCGTGGTGCTCGTTGGGCGTCGCGCAATGGGGGGGCGACCGATGGGGGGGGCAGCGAGGGCTGCCGAAAAAGGGCCCTCTGGGGCCCCGGCAGGGGCCCTCTAGTGCCCAGAAGGGCGCAATGGTCCCGCTTAGACCACTGCCGATAACACCGAATACTGATCTCCTCGATCTCCTGGCGGATGTAGTGCTCGTTATCTCTATCTCGTTGGAATCTCCTCTAACGACGCGATGGCAGTGGCAAGACTTTGCGCGAGGCTGCTCGCGCTCGAGACGATGTGCAGAACTGTTTCTGGGCAGCGGGCACAGTAGCTGTCCTGCGGTTCTTGACCGCACGTCTGAAAGTCCAGCAACACTGAGTTGCTGTACGAAAGACTTGAGCCAAGACGGGTTCGGAAATTGCGTCTTGGGAAACGTGTGAAACACTTTAAAACGGCCTCATGGGCTTGGGGCTCTCCAGGGAACCTTGGGGAGACCATTAAGCATGGCCAGGCTGCAAAACAGAGAAAAAGGAACCTGCTACGCCAGGGAACGCGGACTTACATACTATGGATAGTATGTACTGGGCTCCTTGGAACCTTGTCTTAAACTCGGGCCTCGATGTGCCATCTGTCGTAAGTAGGCACAGGGAGGTAGGCTCTGGGCTGTGAATTGCAAGTGGAGCCTGTAGAGCCCAGAAGAGAGCCTTCAGGGCCCAGAGGGGGGCCCAACGGTGCCCTTCAGGGCTGGGAAGGGGGCCTTTCGGGCCCGGGCTCTCTTCAGAAGGGTGCCTTAAGGGCGTGCGCCTTTCTCCCCTCCCCCCGACCCAGACCCCCGACGTCATGATTTGTTCATTGCAGTGGGGGCCCATGCCAAGAAACACCCTGCATGCCTCCAGGGTGCCTTGGGTTTCTTGGGTTCCGATGGTTTTGCCATGGAAAGCGTGACGTTCCCACACCAAAAATCGGCGGACGTCCTGTGGCCTCATGGTTGGGTTTCTTGTGGCAGGTTTCTTGTGGACTGGCCTCCACTGAACGTCGGCCACCGGAGGTCTGGATCCATTCCCAGGGGCCGGTTTCTCATCTTGAGTCGATTTTTGACGGTCCTGAGGCCCGGGCAAGGGCCCCAAAATGTAGAAAATGGCCCAACGCCTCCCGTCGTGATTGTTTTTCAGTGTTCGAGGGGGTCTGGGTCTATCGCCCCCCCAGTGAGGCGACGCTCGACTCGAGGCGACGCATTCCGGAGCTCACGACGACGGTGCTCGAGAGGAGCAGTTATGAGGAAAATCCTGGAGGCCTCGCGCGGCGCGTATTAGCAGTATGATCTAGTCCACACGTCAGCTCCCTAAGCTATGGGTCGACGCTCGCGCGGCGATGCCCCGGAGTCAGTCCGACGCAACAATCCGACGCAGCTCCGACGTAGCCCGACGTGGACCCGACGCGGATCCGACGCGGATCCGACCTGAAGCTTGAAGCGGGGCTCGAGTTTCCGCGTGAGGCCTCCAGGAGCTTCCTCATAAGAGCAGCCGGCGCGCGGCGTGCGGCGCCCGCCTTCTATCGGCACGGAGGGCGAGGACCTCCGAGGGGGCTGTCGGGCGGGGCGGGGCCGCGCCTCGATCGTCTCGTCGGGTGCCGCCATGGCGTGTCCCATCGGCGGCGAGGGGCGAGGTGATCATCGGCGGCGAGGGGCGCCTTCCCCCTCCTCCTCCTCCTGCTCCTCCTCCTCCTCCTCCTGCTCCTGCTCCTCCTGCTCCTCCTTCCTCCTCCTCCTCCTCCTCCTCCTCCTCCTGCTCCTCCTCCTCCTCCTGCTCCTCCTGCTCCTCCTCCTCCCGCCTCCTCCTCCTTCTCCTCATCTCCCTCCTCCTCCGCCCTCCTCCTCCTCCGTCCTCCTCCTCCTTCTCCTCCTCCTCCGCCGCCCTCCTCCTCCTCCTCCTCCTCCTCCTCCTCCTCCTCCTCCGCCCTCCTCCTCCTACCTCTATTCCCAGATCCCCTCGCGTTGTGAACAAAAGTCACGACGGGAGGTGTTTCCCTATTTTCGGCGTCCAGGGGGCCCTTCGCGGGCCCGAGGGCCGTCAGAAAACGACGCGGGATGAAACATCGGTCCCAGGGAAGGGGTCCAGACCTCTGGAAGTGGACGTGGTGAAGAAATCTGACGCCGTTGGGGGGGGCAATGGAGAAAGAGCGAGCCTTCTCAGAAGGCTCGGAAGCCCACAGGGATTCTTGGGAAGACTCCTGAGCCTTCCCCGAAGTCGCAGAAAGCCTCTGAGAAGTCAGGGGCGGCCTAACCGACCACTAGCAGACCATCCCCTTCCGTGACGTGCCGTATGTGTGCGGCCAGAGGGAAGCTCGAAAGTCAGGCCGTGGCCGAAGAAGGCCGGAGCGTTTCGGAGAAGTTCCGCCGCCTCTGAGAAGGCCTTTCTCTTCACTTGCGCCGCTCGCTCGCCGCCGACCCTCGGACGGGGCTGGGACGAGGATAGATTCGTTTCAGAGCGTTTCGAACGGGGCTGGGACGAGGATAGGTCCGTTCCAGAGCGTTCCGGAACGCTCTCACAGTGTTCCAGTACCCTTTCAGCGCCCAGTGCGTACCCCAGATCCGCCGGATCTCGGAGATTCTCAATTTGTCTTCGGCGCCCGAGACATCCTTCAGAGCCCCCGGATCTCAGAGATTCTCGATTTACCTTCACCCGATGGTATCTTCGTCCTGGGTTCGTCTTATCATGGTTCTTCCAGATGGCGTTGTGTCTAGAATTTTGGCAAGTGTGCCTGGATTGGTATGTGTCTACTCCCGCCCCCCTTCGCCTTCCGCTTTCCGAGCAGCGCTTGGGCCAGAGAGGCGTGCAAGTGCTCCCCTGCCTGAGTGAGACGTCCAGAATTCTTTCGCGGGCCTCGCCGCGATCCCCCCCCCTTAGGTGTTCGAGTATGGACGCCTTGTTGAACGCAACCGTCCAGCTTTCGCGCCGAAGACTGCTGGAAACCGCCGAAGACTGGTAGTCCCCCCCCCCCCCCGAGGGCGCGGCGAGAAGGGCGCCTCGAGCCTGTTTTGAGCCTGTTTTTCTTCAGATCCAGGCGAGTTTACTTGCATGGCGCTCGCCCCCCCCTCCCCTTCTCGCCCCTCTTCAATCGAATGCGAGCGTGCAAGTGCCTTTCGACTTGCATTGCTTCCGAACGCCACGCCAAGTTGTTTTCGGCTTGCTTCAAGCTCAGGCCCCCCCTCCCGTCCATGCAAGTAAACTTGCCTGGATATAAACCTAAGCAATCTCTTTTCTCTAGATCCAGGCAAGTTTACTTGCATTGCGTTCGCCCCCCTCCCCCACCCCCCCTGCGCCTCTCCCATCGAAAGCGAGCGTGCAAGTGCCTCTCGACTGGCGTGACTACCGCTCGCCAAGCTGTTTTCGGCGTGCTTCAGGCTCAGGCACACCCCCGCCCCCCCCGCCCATGCAAGTACACCTTAGGCGATGCTTAAGAAAACTTGAGTTTTCGACCAGAGTCTCGATTATCCTCAACGTTTCAATGTAAACCTTAAGATTTTAATAGAAACGTTGGGTTTTTTTTTATTCAAGTTCTGAGACTATGAATTTCTCAACCCATGATTTCTTGAGCATTTCGCAGGGTGTAAACTTGCCCGAATCCACAACGCAAACAGGCTCCACCCAGCCTTCGCGCCGAAGACCGCTGGAAGCCGCTGGCGGCCGCTGACCCCCCCCCCCGGGGGGCGCGGCGAGGAGCGCGCCCCGCGCCCCGCGCTCTGGGTCGGCGAGGGGTGCCCTGCTCCCTCTCCAGGGCGGCAGCCTCGCGAGGGCGCGCCTCCTCCTCCTTCTCCTCCTCCTCCTCCTCCCCCTCCTCCTCCTCCTCCTCCTCCCTCCTCCTCCTCCTCCTCCTCCTCCTCCTCCTCCTCCTCCTCCTCCTCCTCCTCCTCCTCCTCCTCCTCCTCCTCCTCCTCCTCCTCCTCCTCCTCCTCCTCCTCCTCCCCCTCCGCGGCAGCCTCGCGAGGGCGCGCCTCCGCGCCGCGCTCCCTCACATCGCGCGCCCCTTTGGGGCGAGGTGCCGGGGCCCGGGAGTGCCACTGGCCTGATGGTGCTCCAAAGCCTGCTGTAGCCCTGGGATCACAAGGAAGAATGGCGAGCAGCAAGAATGTACCGAAGCTGGGAGGCGACACTCGTTCGACACTGTTTCGACACGTTTCTGGGTGCTCGAGATTATTTGGGGGATGTGGTCCTTAAGTACGAGGGGGAGCAACATAACACTGGTCGGAACGTAACACCGGCATTTCTATGGCATCTGAAGCGTATACATGTTTGGCCTCCCAGATGGGGTCGGAGTAGATGGGGTCAGAGGATCGCGCCGCATCGCCGATGCATCGGCGATGCGGTTCGATGCGGAGCCCGATTTACTCCATGCCGATGGCGCTGATGCTTCGCCGACGTCGCCGATGCATCGGCGATCGATCGCCAATGCATCGCCGATGCGGCGTGATCCTCCGACCCCATATACCCGAACCCCATCTAGGAGGCCTCTATTCATTTCCAGTGGATGGCTGCTATTCATTCCCAGGACATTTGAGGGTCGGGGACGACGTCGGGGTGGTGTGGTGCATACTTTTGTCCCCGTCTCCCTGGGGAAACGGCCAACAATGTACACACCCACACACGCACACACCAGGATCCCGCATGCACCAGGATCCGCTTTCCTATGCGAGTTCCAGCGCGGGGCCGAAAAAAGCGTCGGTGTATGGAGATCGGCTCCCTGCCTGGCCCAGGGGGTCCCTGGGACTTCCAGGGAGGCCCCCACGACCTGGCGTCTCCAGTTCTGTCGAGCTTGGCGCTGTCGCCTTCTGTTCGGGCCTCGGGGCCCTCGCAGATCGATCCGGCCCTAAAAGTGACGCAGAAATGCGGGGTCTAAGGCTCCGCGCGTGATTTCTGTTCCCCATGATATATGCTTGTTTCGTTGCGTCGAAGCTCAGGCACCTCTGGAGCACCCCAATCACGCAGCTCTGGAACGCCGAGCCTCCCTCATCCCTCGTCATCCGTCCCTCCTCCTCCGTCCCTCATTGGACTGATGCGACGGACGGTGTTACCGGGTTGTGCTATCTGGCAGGCTGGCGACCGCTGACGTATTGCCACGAGTTGACAGGGTGGCCAGGGCCGCCTCAGTGTCTTGATTCGCTCGATGCTGCGCGCCGTCTCGTGCCATGCGCCACCGCCTTTTGGAGCTGTAGGGGCACTAGATTCGAGACAAGCGCACCTGATATTTTTGTTGTTTCATAGGGGGAGACGTCTCGGGAACTTGAGGGGGTAAATTGTGTGGGTCCACACTGATCCGCGTGGGCGCGTCTGCCTGCGCAGCGAAAGGCTCTCTGAGCTGCTCCCATGGCGCGGGTACTCCTGGGCCTTTTCGCGCAGCCCCGAGATGGCACTTCATAGGCTATCAGTTTCCGTTGAACGGGCCCGCTAGAGCTAATCAGGGAGTCGTTTTCGAGAGGAGGTTCTCGGGAGGCACCAGTAAAGTAATGCAGTCTGGTGTGAGCAGTGCCTCTTCTGATTGATCTTGTCTCACAATGCTTACGCGCCGCCTGGCGCAAGGTCTACGGTTTGGTGCCAGGGACCACCTCGAGCCGTCGTCAATCGGGTTGGGTTCGTCAAAGGGCCGACCTACGCCCTCTTGGGCAACCTTTAGAAGCAAGTAAAGGGCTTCAAGGCCCAATGGCTCTGACGGCCAGAGCTAACCCCGAGGGTGGGGAAAACGATGGCACTGTCGCGGTCCAGGGATGCCATCGGTAAGGCAGATCAGCACGTAGGCTTTGAGTACGGACATGGATTCTGTGTACTATTGATTTGCGAAGTTGCAGACGTTCCGTAGCCGTTTGCGTTCAAGTCTGCACCAGGAAGCAGGTGCAACCGTTGCCGGAGCTTGTTCGCGGAACTCCTTGCGAAAAGCGCTTTTCATCTCTTGGAGGAGGCGGCCGGAGGGCCTGAGTTGGATAAGCCCAGAGCAGATATGTCAAAAGGGGGGTACGGGCAATATCTGGCCCCAGGCCCCTCCCGGGCGTCGAAACTGGCATGTCCTTCTGGCCGCGTCCAGCCAGAACCAGTACTGGGCCACCTCAGCCCTCCAGCTGTCTCCATTCCTCATGGCCATGCTGCGCGTGCCCGTGATAATGCTCTTCCTGGCCACGGCGTGGGCGCAGGAGCTCTCGCAGCAGGAGCTCGACCCCGCCCTCGCCGCGGATGACGAGTGCGCCGACGGCGGCGACACCTGCGTCGTGGAGCTGCTGCAGGCTCGCGCCTCGAAGGACGTCAGGGCTGAGCACGCGAGCTCCGCCGAGAAGAATATCGAAGGCGCCTACGGCAAACCACCGCCGCCCCCTGCCTGTCGGAGACGCCGATGCGGGCAAACGTTGGGCCGAAGTCTGGCTAAGCTGTTGGACTATCTGTGTACCCCCAGCCATGATGGAGTCCCTGGGGGGAACGTTTGACGGAAAGCGCGCGTTAGCGTACGGTCCGTTCGTCGGAACAAATTGGACTTGGGGGAGTTCGAGGGGGTTGGCATCGCGACGCCCGAGATCTAATTGCCCTCCCGCCTCGTTTTTTATCGAGTAGGACGGCCTTCCGGGCTCAAAATTCGCGTTTCGCTCGAGACATCATCGGAAAACGCTTCTTGGGCGCTTCTTGGGCCGTTTTAGGCGCCTGAGACAGCCCAAGAAGTGGCCAAGACGGCGGCCAAGACGGCCCAGGAAGCGCCCAAGACGGCCCAAGAGCGCTCCAAGAGAGCCCAAGACCGCCCAAGGCGGTCCCAAGACGTTCGAGGGAGCAGTGAGAGCGCCAACGGTAAAAAGGTCCCAAGACGTCCTAAGAGGCCTCCACGACGCCCCAGGAGGCGCCCACGAGGCGTCCCAAGAGGGCCCCTAGAGGCCCAAACCATTGATTTTCTTAAGGAAAGCAAGCATTTCTAGCATATACGGCTTTTCGCTTCTCATGGCGTTGAAGACGGTCCAAGAGGCCCCCCAAACCGCCCCAAAATTGCCCAAGATGTTCCCAAGAAGCCCCCAAAATAGCCCAAGAGGGCGCCAAGACGGGCCAAGAGGCGTCCAAGACTCTCCAAGAGGCCCCCAAGAGCGCTCCAAGAAGGCCCAAGAGGCCTCCAAGAAGGCCCCAAAACGGCCCAAGAAGGCGCCCAGACGGCCCAAGAGGCGCCAAGACGGCCCAAGACGATTCCGACCGCCTGGATCCGGTTCGATTCCGATATTCCCTTTGCCCGATGCGGCCCGATGGTTTGCATTCCGTGGTTCTGCATCACGGTGCAGCCGATCCGACGCGATTTCGACTCCGTGCATATGCAGCCCGATCCTACGCACATCCAGATTCGATCCGACCTCGTAATGCTCGATGCCGATTTGGTCCTGGGCCGAGGAGGAGGAGGAGGAGGAGGAGGAGGAGGAGGAGGAGGAGGAGGAGGAGGAGGAGGAGGGGGAGGGCTCGAGAGACATGTCCGTACCGGCGGCCTCGCGGGCTGGGCCCTCGGGCTGCTGCCCCTGCTGCCTCGCGGGCCCGTGTCTTGTCGCGGATGCCCCCCACGCGGAAGTGTCGTCTGCACACGCAGCTTCGTCTCTAGAGACTAGCGTCGATTCGCGTTTGGTAATCGATGAGATGTCGCCGACTGAGCGTCGAACAGCGTCGAGTCGCAAGAGCCAGCAAGATGGCATTGGAGGCTCCCATGAGCTGCCAACTAAGGAGTGTATCGTGCGTCCGCGTATCCGCGGGATCGCGCCCCAGAATCCAGACCGCGAGGGCGTGGATACGGATATGTCCGCCGCTCGCGAGGAGGACGGAGGCCTCGAAGGATCCGAGGGGCACTCAAACCCGTGCCTCGATGGCACGCTGGCGGATCTGGGATGGCAGCCCGCATCGAAGAAGAGCAAATTCGCACAGACAAGAGTTTTCAGAGGTCCGCGCGGACTTATGGGATCGGCGCTGGGCCTCCCTCCCCAGAGATCTGAGGTTCAGACAAAAAAGGGAGCGGCAAGTTTTGGGTTGGTGTTCGGCCTCCAGGGGCCCTCAACGGTCCCCAGGACCGTCAACAAAATGACTCAGGATGAAACACAGGCCCTGGGGCAGTGGTCCAGACCTCCAGGGGTCCACGCATCGAAAGAATTGGAGCGCTGGATGTCTAGCCAGGGAGCAGCGCGCGGCGGTGGAGGTGCCGCCAGGGGGGCCCAGCGCAGATCCAGCGCACCGAAAAGGCACCAATACCGCTACCCTTCCCCCGTTCTTGCGTTTCTGGGCCTCCCAAGAGGCCCTCGCCGCCGCGGCTGGACTCGCCTCTCGAAGTTCCGGTCAGGATGCACCGGAGGTCTGGGGAATGGAGTCACGGCGGTCCCCAGGCGGCGCCTCCAGCGCCGCCCCGGGTGCGCTCCGTGCGTCACGAGCGGAGGTCCAGCGCCGATCCCAGAAATCCGCGCGGACCTCCGGAAGTTTATGTCTGTGCAGCTTTCCTTTCTTCCAGAGCAGCTTCTGCAGCAGAACGCCACCGCCAACGCCACGGCCAACGCATCGCAGCCGCCCTGCAGGGGCATCAACGAGGCCTGCTGGATCGACCTCGACTGCTGCTCCGCGCGGTGCGGGCTCACGCGCCGCTGCCGGCCGGTGCGCTAGGGCGCTCCTGCTCGCCGCCATTTGTCGGGGGACTCTTCATATGGGGGGGGATCCCATGGGGGGATAGGATCCCAGGGGGGGGATCCCATAGGATCCCCTGGGGATCCCATGGGGGGGCAGGAGGGGACCCCATGGGGGGGATCCCCTCCTGCCCCGCCATGGGATCCCCCCCCATGGAGAGTCTCCCGAATTTGAAGGAAGCGGGTCCTGAGGGAAATCCGGAGGGCCCTGAGATCCGGGCGTTACTTGTTGTACTTCACGCGTGTCGCTCGGTGTCGGGCCCCGGAATGCGAGGCGGGGGGTTATCGATAACCATATTCTGCGTATCGACCTTCGGGGACCTCCGCAGGCGGTAGGTGTTGATACATATATATATATATATGTATGTATGTATGTATATACATATATCTCGGAGTAGGGCCCGGGGCGCTGCCAGTAATCTCCATGGGGGGTGCAGGGCGCCCCCGGGAGCGTCCGAAGCGTCCCGGAGGGCCCCTGGGACCGCCAGGAACAGTTCGAGACCGCCCAAGACGGCCCGCGAGCGCTCCAAGACGCGCATAGAATAGCCTCAGGAATGGCCAGGAAGGCCCGAAGACGTTCCAAGAGAGCTCCATGAGGCCCCGAAGGCATCCCAAGAGGCCTCCCAAGAGAGCCCCGACAAGCCAAAATCGTTGATTTTTATTGTTTTTTTTTATAGGTTTTTGGCCTTCTCGCTTTTTCGGGTTCCGACGCTCCAAGACCGTCCAAGAGTCTCCCAAAACCGCTCCAAGACGGCCGAAGAGGCCCCCAAGACCGCCCCAAGACGGCCCAAGAGACCCCCAAAATCGTCCCAAGACGGCCCAGGAGAGCCCCAAGATGGCCCAGGAGCCGCCCAAGACGGTTCCAGGAGAGCCCCGACAGGGCTTCAAGATTGCCTAAGCGAGCCCAGCGGTCCCCAAGAGGGCCCCGCGAGGCCCCAAGAGGCCCCAAAGAGGCCCCCAAGAGCCTCCCCGGAGGCCCCCAGAGGCCCCCAAGATGCCCAAAAATGGCCCTGAGCGCGCCCCAAGACGCCTCCAGGAGAGCCCAACAGGCCTCCGAGAGGCCCCCAAGAACTGGAGGCCCTCAGGAGGTCGTCCCCATCATGTTCCCGGAAGGCGGTCCGGGAACATGATTCCGCGCCTTGGAGGAGTATTCTGCGCCTTCCGAGGCGCCTTGGACGACGTACGTATGTTTCTATAGATTGTCCTTCTCCTGTGTACACAATCCTACATGTTTTACGTATGTTTCTATACATATATATATATATATATATATATATATGTATATTATGTGTATATATATATATATATGTATATATATATTTAAATGGGGAGGGGGTCCTGGACCAGGGGGGGGCCTCACTTTGCCCAGTGGCTGTGGTCACCCCCCCGCCGGAGACGCCAGGACGCTCCCAGGACCCTCTAAAATGGCTCCAGGACGCCCTCAGGACAGCCCAAGAGAGGTCCGAAGCGGCCCGGGAGCACTCCAAGACGGTTAAAAAGCTGCCAAAGCGTCCCAGCAGGTCTCCGACAGCACTCCCGGGAGGGGCCCAATAGGAAATTGTCACTGATTTTTAGTGGGTTTTGAAGGGTTTTGGCGTTCTCCCCAGTTCGGCTTCCAGACGCTCCAAGGCGGCCCAAGAGGCCCGAAAGATCGCCTCAAGACGAGCCCAGAGGCCCCCAAGAGACCACCGAGACAGCCCAAGAGGGCCCCAAGACGGCCCAGGAAGCTTCCAAGACGACCCAAAAGAGTTCCCAGAACACTCCAAGAGGAGCCCCAGATGGGGAACACGAACTGACATTTCGAGCCCTCGCCCACCAGAAGCTCCCAAGAGGCCCCCAGGAGTCCGCAAGAGGCCTCAAGAGGCCCCCAGGAAGCTCCAAGAGGCCTCCAAAAGGCGCCGACAGGGCCCCGCAAGGCTTCCAGACGCTGGTGATAATGACAATGATGATTATGCAGGGCGGCCTCAGGCCCACAACCTAAATCCCCAATACTGCTCACGCGGCATGCAAGACGCTAACGATGATGACGACTATTATCCTCAATACTGCTCACGCTCGGAGACGACGGTGACGAAAATGATGACGATGATGACGACTATTATGAAGTTGACGACGATGATGATCATGATGATGATGATGATGATGATGATGATGATGATGCTGATGATGATCATGATCATGATCATGATCATGATCATGATCATGATCATGATGATCATGATGATCATGAGGAATAAGATTATGATGATGATGTTGACAGTGGGAATGATGATGATGCTGATGATGATGATGATGTTGATGATGGTGATCGTGATGTGAGTGATGGTGATGATGATGTTGGTGGTGATGCTGACGATCATGATGACGATGACGGTGATGCCGTCGAGGATGGTGAGGCTGACGATCATTCTGATGATGCTGCTGACGGTCATGATGATAACGCCGATGCTGATAATAATGGTGGCGATGCTGTTTATGGTGCTTGTGATGCAGGAATGGGCGGATGATGAAGATGATGACGATGATGATGACGAAAACGATGACGACGATCACGACGACGACGACGATAATGATGACGATGGCGATGATGAGGATGATTATGTTGATAATTCAGGTGACGATATTGACGATGATGACGACGATGGCGATGATGACGATGGTGATGACGATGTTGCTGCTGATGGTGGTGATGGTGACGATTCTGATGATGGTGATGGTCATGGTGATGATGACGATGCCGCTGACGATGACGCTGGATATGATGGTGATGAGGATGGCGATGATGACGATGACGATTATCCTAGCTAGAACTTGAGCGCGCGCGAAGCGCGCGCGATGGTTCTAGTATATATCAGAGTGAGGGGGCCGAACGGTCATTCACTGTCCCTGGGTGCGTGGCTGAAGTGGAATTCCGCGGTGCGGATTCTCGTTGTTGTTGTTGTTGTTGTTGTTGTTGTTGTTGTTGTAATTGTTGTTTGTTGTTGTTTATTGTTGTTGTTTGTTGTTGTTGTTTGTTGTCGTCGTCCCACCCGCAACCCGCCCCGCGACCCACCCGCGACCCACCCCGCGACCCACCCCGCGACCCACCCGCGACCCACCCGCGACCCACCCTTGACCCACCCCGCGACCCAGCGCGCGACCCACCCCGCGACCCACCCGCGACCCATCCCGCGACCCACCCCGCGACCCGTCCGCGACCCACCCGCGACCCACCCGCGACCTACCCCGCGACCCACCCGCGACCCAAACCACGTTCAAGGTACAAACCACCATTTTCGGCGCCTGCGGCGGGCTTTTTTTTGCATTCCTTCCAGGTGGAGAGCCCGCGACCCACCCCGTGACCAACTCGCGACCAACCCGCGACCCAAACCACGTGCAGGGTACAAACCATACTTTTCGGCGCCTGCGGCGGGCATCTTTTGCATTCGTTTCAGGTGGAGAGCCCGCGGCCCACCCGCGACCACGTTCAGGGTACAAACCACATGTTTCGGCGCCTGCGGCGGGCATCTTTTGCATTCGTTCCCAGTGGAGAACCCGCGGCCCACCCGCGACCCAAACCACGTTCAGTGTACAAACGATTTGTTTGGGCGTTTGCGGCGGGCTGCTTTTGCATTCCTCCCAGGTGCAGGTGAACGCGCGAGCCACCCCCGACCTAAACCACGTTCACTGAACAAACCAATGCCGCACAAGCGCGGCGGTGGATTTTTGCATGCCGTCTGAGCCCGCAAGGACCTCTTTAAGCCCCGCGCATCCACACCCACCCGTCCAGCAACCCTGCCCTGGCGAGTTGCCTTGATCAGAGAAGGCGGGGAGCATAAAGTGGGAAAAAGGGTTGCGTTGCAGTTATCTTGGGAAAGGAGGGGGAGGCAGGAGGAGTAAACAGGGGACGAGGAGAACGCGGAAGAAGAGAGGATGTAAGGAGAATGTGGAGAAAGAAAAGGAGGAGGAGCAGGAGGACGAGGAGGGGGACAAGGGGAGGAGGGGAAGGAGGAGGACGAGGAGGGGGAGGAGGGGGAGGATGATGATGATGATGGGCGACAACGGGAGGACGATGATGGAGGCCGATGAGGGGGAGGACGACAAGTGGAGGACGACGATGAAAGGACGAGGGGGGGAGAGGGAGGACGAGGAAGAAGAGGAGGAGGAGGAGGACGAGGTAGAGGAGGAGGATGACGATGACGATGACGATGAGGACGAGGATGAGGAGGAGGAGGAGGAGGAGGAGGAGGAGGAGGAGAGCGCCATCGGTGGGGGCCACGAGGTCCGCCGGCTCGACGACGCCCGCGTCGCCCGCGCCCGCCCCCTCACTCTTATCCGCAATTGCGGGGTGCTACGTAGCAGACATATATATATATATACACACGTAGCACCCCGCAGTTGCGAATAAGAGTGATGGGGCGGCGAGGACGTCGTCAGCCCGCGAAACTTTGAAGAAGCCGGCCGCGGGCGCCGATTTTTTTGTTTAAAGCAATGTGGGTGGGTCGCTGGGTGGGTCGGAGGTGGGTCGCGGGTGGGTCGCGGGCCGGGTCGCGGGCCGGGTCGCGGGTGTGTCGCGGGTGGGTCGCGGGGTGGGTCGCGGGCGGGTCGCCGGGTGGGTCGCGGGGTGGGTCGCGGGTCGGGTCGCGGAGGGGGTCGCGGGGGGGGGTCGCGGGGGGGGTCGCGGGGTGGGTCGCGGGGTGGGTCGCGGGTGGGTCGCGGGTCGGGTCGCGCGGTGGGTCGCGGGGCGGGTCGCGGGGCGGGTCACGGGGTGGGTCGCGGGGTGGGTTGCGGGTGGGTCGCGGGGTGGGTCGCGGGGGGGACGTCGACAACAACAACAACAAGCAGAATCCCCCACCACGGATCCTCACTTCAGCCACGCACCCAGGGACAATGAATGACCGTTCGGCCCCCTCACTCTGATAGAGTGAGGTATATATGTGTATATCCCATATATGGATGGGCGGGCATCCCCGACCCCCTGAAAAACCGAGCAAACGGAGC